GCAAAAATCCGGAAGAATTTGCCAAAATATTGATTGAAAGACTAGAGAAAGTCAAGATTCAGAGAGAACAAGGTGAAAGGGAAGCTCACAACTTGGCAATTCACTGTGAGGTATGATCGAATGTCACTATGTTACATGAAATTAGATTTTTTATCATGTGTTTGGTACAAATTTAAAGATTTTGCCAATCTCAGAAAATCAGAGTGGATGAAACCCAAATGCTTAAGATAGCTTTCTTCAAATTGCACATTAATTTAATAGCGTGTAGTAAAACTGTAGCAAATTGTGGTATTATGATGAAAAAAATATTCATTGCCTCATGGCCGTTGTGTGTAATGAGAACAAGAGCAATTCTATGTTGTCTTATGCAATTGTTACATTGTTTTAGGCACCAAGAAAGTCAATTCTCCAACAAGCAATTGACAACACAGAGAACAAGAAAAAACTCTACCTTACCACCATGGCCAAGGAAGCTGTGGCTTCTTTCAAGGAACCTTATTATAGTGACAAGCCTGTAGCTGGAGAGGAAACTGCTGCTGCTCCCACTGCCTCAGCACCTGTAGCTGTTGATACACACAGACTGCAAGTTGAACCACAACAAATTCAGCAGTCTAAGCAACCTGGTTCAGAGAAGAAAGAAGCAGTGATTGAACCCCAATCAAGTGAGCCAGCTGTTAGAGATGGTAGTGAGTGGGAAGCTCGTCCCCAACGCAGGGATGATGACATTCCTTTCCTAACTGTTAATCATCATCGCATTATACAATGGATGGAGGAAGGGGAACAGGCTCAGCAGGGCTCAAAAGAGTCTAAGTCCCATCGCCATCATTCTCCCTCCTCAAGAAACAGTTCGAGGGGTAAGCAGTCGACCACGTCTTCCACTAGACATTCAGAGAAGAATCCACCCCTGCATTTACCTGGACAACCCATTGCCTCCGATCTCATGATGCCTCTTCTTCCAGCACCTCATGCATCATCTGTTTTGGAAGAAACTAGAAAGAGATTAATTGATGTGGCAAAAGAGGGGGAGAGGCGATCTAAGAATCATGCAAAGCAAAGGTAGGCATGAAACCAAACTGTGATTTCAACTGTTTACATTTATGAATTTTGATGTTTTTGGTTCCTCACCCCCACCCCCACCCCCACAAATCTATACACGAGGGGACTTTTTGGGGGGGGAGGGGGGGTTTCCCTTGACAGTTGATTGATACCCATGTATATGACTGGTAGGAGAGAGGTGAGGCATTTGAGTTCAGTGTCTTTCCCATGAACACAACTCAAAAATCAGACCAGCGTTTGAACGTTATTACCATCACACAACAGCGTATCTCCCACTGTTAACAAATGCAAGTATTGAGTAAATTTTAAAAAATCGAAGTTCAGGCCTTCAACTTATTGTTGTTGGAAGTGCATCTACCTGAATTAAGTGAAGTGTGTAGAGATCTCCTCTACCTTCTGTTTTTATTGAACACAATTCAAATTTGTTTCATGTAGGTTTCAAGCAGGATCAGATTTTGAAACCACATCCTGCAGAGAAAAAACAAGTGCATCATTATGTTGGTCTGCCAAAGACTCCTCCAGTTATGGGCAGTCTCCAAGTTTTCCACATGAAAGACATTACAAGGCTGCATCATCTGTGACTGGGAAATCATCTGTATCACAGGCTGATTCTATAAGTACATGTAAGGACAGTGGATTTTGTGGATCAGTGTTGAAAAAGAAGGATAAACATGGTTCATTAATAATCACTTACTACTTATGGGGAGAACCCATTCCTTATCGAACTTCACTTCCTGAAAAATCTGTGACACTTGGACAATTTAAAACTTTGTTACCACCAAGGAAAGGAATTTACAGGTAAGGTGAATCCCTCGAAGGCTCATGTTCCCTAATCTTTTCACTCTCAGCGGTGACCAAAACTGAACTTCTCCTTACAATATTTGTACATTTTTTAAGTAGATAGGTAAAGAGAGGTAAGAAAAATATCAACTAGGGGATATTCTTTGATTAAACAAAAAGTTCTCTGATCTAAAATCATAAGAAATGTATAGCACAGTTTGGAGAATCATATTTGAATTTTGGGTGTAAAGGGTCAGGTCTACTAAATGCGACACTTGTGGCACATACTCTCATCTGCTGTGAATTGTTGGAAATGAAAGTGAGTTGGCCACAGAGTAAAGTAAACTGAGAGCCTGGTATAGGCAAGGTTTTTGCCAAAGTTTCATTTGCCAGCTAGAAAACGCTGAACTTGTTCATCATCTATCAGTATCTTTGAAAAGAAATGGGCAAACAGACTAGAATTCGGGTCTTTGAAACATCAGCAGCATATTTTTGATTGATTCTCTGAGGATAGTTTGATGAAGGTTACATCTGATGCACTTATTTTACTTCTAAAACTGATCACTTTTATGTGTACTTTGAGAAAATTAGCTTTTGACATGGTGTACTTGAATGCCTCAAGTGCAGGAGAGAACTTGCTCAAAATTGCTGTAGAATGCAAGGGAATTTTTCAAACTCTGGAAAATTGGAACAAAATTCATACAATTTCTAGCAAGAGGCAGCATTTTTTCTCCCACACCTTGTTACTTAGGAAACCTGTGGTTGTGTTGTTGACCATTGTGTTGTTTGGTTCTATTGGTGCTTTGTACTTGGTCAAATGTGTCATTTCTTTCAAGAAAGTCAATGTGTGATCCCATTAGCCATTTTAATGTATCTGAAACAATGAAAGAGTGATCTTACCTCACGAGGTTTTTTGTAAACTGAATTTAGATTACCTTTTCCTCTTTGCAGATTCTTTTTTAAAAGTATGACAAGAGACAATGACTGTCTTGTCGTTTGGGAAGAAGTTAAAGATGACAGCACTGTTTTACCTACATATGATGGAAAAGTCGTGGGCAAAGTAGAACGAGTGAACCCTTAAATGCTCAAAAATTCTTACCGTTTTTAATAGAGAAATTGTACTTTTAATACTGAATGTTTTATATTCAGAAATGATTTTTAAATATAATAAAAGAATAAAGGGCTAGCTACCCCCTCGGAGTGCCAGAGAATTGGCGTTTCGTTTGTATATAGACGTATAATATATTTGTAAATTCTATGTTAATGTTGTATAATTTTATGGTTACCAAGATTAAAATATTATTTTCTATAAAGAGTTGGCTTGTTTGGTGTGTTTATTTGCTTGGTTTTAGTCCCTGGAAGAAGTAAGAGAATCGAGAACCATGTTAAGGGTTCTAGCGGGTGTGTAGGTTTTTTAAACCTTCTACCGTCGACGATAATTGGTACTTAGCGATTAGGCAGGTAATAAGAGTCAAGAGACATACAAATTGCGGGATTTTGTTTACATATGACTCCAGATTTTCAAGAGTAATCAACATAATGTATTTCATCCAACGGGGATTATAGCTTCAAGATTTTGAGAGAGAACTGGTTACAGGAAGCCCCTTGATTCCACGAGATTGGACTATGCATCGATGTTAGGGTGGCTTAAATCGGTTGTGTAATTTTTAAGCATCACTTTGATATGCCAAACTACGAAACTCCTTTGTTTTCACTGAATTGGTAACAAAGAAAGTCTCATTTATTTTTCAACTTAGTTATCATAGCAACAACACATCCACTCAGAAACGCACTGTATTTTACCTTGTAAGTGCCTTAATTTCAAAAGGCATTTAACAGACCCTCATTTTTTATCAGTGAGTTGAGGTTGGCATCTCCATCTTACTACCAAGTTCAAGAACTTTATGCCGCAAGTGCATGGTGACCTTAAAATTATCGCTTGACTCTAATGCCGGGATGGAATATTTCGAGTCCACGCTCCCTCTTTACAAACCTTTTCAATTATGAGGGTAGGACGTTGTGAACGTCTTTGCTCAGGATATTACGGCCAATGAGAATCTACGATCGGTATTCCGAGTACTAGCCATTTGGTTATCAGGAGGTGCTTATCTCTGCTTGCGAAGTCTCAGCTTAATCAAATGCTCTCTGTAATATCTCCTTGATACCATTAAGAAAAGACACCCCACATTCCCTTGAGATATAGTTGAAGAGGGGAGGCACATTTGCATTTATCATCACCGTCTGGTTCAAAGAGTTTGTTTCATCCTATTTTTTATCGCTTTGGCTTCCACGCACACCCTATGGACGTTTGACGACCCTCCCACTCCCCTCCAGTGATGCCTCGCAGGTTGCCAAGGCTCCCACTCCTTTTCGACCCTTTATCTCGCCTCTGTCCAAATCTTAACTCTATCTAAAGTACCTGGAAGTTTAGGCTTTTGGTAATGAGTTATCACGGGTAAATTCTCGATTACAGTAAGAACGGAAGAGGAAGTACGAACACACTCAACTCAGAATGAGGCGCACTTGCCAAGAGCTTACTACCGCACTAGTGAAATATCTGACCAACTCGAGCAATAGTATACCTCTCAACTTTATTTTGCAGCCTTAAAGCGAACACGAAAATTATCCTCTTTCTGGTTCAAAACGGCCAACCAGGTGACAAGTAATTGACATAACTAATTATTATTTGCTCAAAAGTTATTCCTTAAGTCCAAAATGTGTTTTAAACACCTGCAATACGATGAGAAACTTAGCCGGAAAAAAATAGCAGTATATAACAAGAACTCCATGATCATTTTGATATTTCACTTGAGCAGAGGATTAAAATACTACTATAACTCCAGTGAGGACTAAGGACAGGAAAATGTAATAACCGAGTTCTGTATCTTTTTGCTTTTGAATATCACTTTCTTTATTTCCCGATCATTTCTGCGGCGCAAGGTAGGCTCTTTGGCGCGAAACCCGCGTGGAAGAGTAAGACTGGCGCACAGCGCGCGAAAGAAATCCAATATGGCGGCCTACAAATCAGTCAGAGTTGCATATGAAGGGCTGTAGAAGTCGTCAAAACGTTTTACTGAAGTTGCATTTTCTTTCTCAAACGAAAGGTAAGAAATGCACGTTTATTTACACAACTGCATAAAAAATTTGGTTAAACAAACACCCTATATCCTTAGATTAAAAAACTTTACAATTTTGAATTACCATCTCATTTTTACCATATATCTTTCTATTTTCGTGACAGTTGATGATATAACGGCTGAGCGTCTTAAACTGTGAAGTTATGAGTACTATGAAAATGAATTACTATCGTTGCTATTAGAACTGTCTTCATCAGGCAGTTGTGTTGTCAATATGATGAGAAGTGTCTTCTTTACACTGATATTCCAAACAATACACTTCTTGCGTGAAGTGAAGGTAAACACAGCCCCATGAGAAACAGCGTACGGTCTGAAAGCATGAATAGGAATGAACTTTGTATACTTTTCTCCAACATCCCTGGATGTCACTGCACCAACTTACGTCCCCGTCAGTAACGATGCTTTTTCCACCAGGGCACAAAACAGAGACACCAATGGGAGGAAATTCTGAACTGCGACGAGTACGATGTTTTGTTCCTGTTGAAAAGTGAAAAAGCAACAATGTATGATTAAATGAAATAAAGTTTTGAGCTTGGTAAAGAAATAGAGAATGATGTTTTTTGTCTTGTCAGGAGCGTGGAACAAAGAAAAAATTTTTAGTTCCTCTTGAGAAATCAGAATTTTTTCTTTGTCTCACGCGCGTGACAAGACGAAAAACATCTTTCTCCGATGTAGGATTAGTTTGGTCGTATTATCATTAGTTGAGAAGCTTTTTATTTAAGACTGGTTTTTTATTATTTAAAAATGATGAGATATATTGGAGGAATACTTCAGTGAATTCCTGGCCACAATTACTTGCACGGAAAATCCGAAAATCGTAACTGTATTAGTATTCACTTAATTACAGAGAAGAAGTTTGATACAAATCTTTGCAAAATTTGTCTTCGTTTAAGCTGGATGGTTTAAAAAGTACTTTCTAGCTTTCTGTCTTCGATATTCTTGCCACAGTCGGTTTTATCCTTTGTTAAATTAGTTTCGAATAATGAAATTCAATTTTGGAGGCTGCTATTGGCAGACTTTCATTGTCGAAATGTTTGTTCAGCGAAAATCCCATATGTAACTTAATAATGGTTATGTTACCTTTTGTATGAATCGTTGTAGAAGTCTCGGAATCGTCCAAGAATTTGACCTGGTATATGGGGTATTCTGAACAAAAGTTTGCCAACTCCTCGCTCAGCACAGACCGATCGGTAATCTCATTATCCACTGTCCATTTGCTATCAATCGTTTTCGTCCTGTCGTCGACCATCCCCTGCCATGAGATGATATATTTAAGTAGATTCAAAGCGGTGAGAAACCTTTTACCGCGTGAAGGCCATTGTAGCGTTCTGTAACTCATATTTCGTAAAATGGCATAACAAAGGAATCTTAAAAGACTCTTGAATGCAGTGGATTCCTTGCACTGCTAGCCAGGAGGGGAAAATTTTTAACAGTATCTGTATTTTCCATGAATTCCAATTACCTGAATTTTTTTTGCTGAAGGGACAAATAGTAAAGAGTACCCAACCAATTCTCGGAAATGCATTATGAAGTTTATCCTAAGGGTAGTAATCGCAACGGGGGTCGCAAAGAATGACCAGCAGTGAAGAACCAATCAGTTATCGACATTCCGTCATAATAAATGAAGACGGTGAGTGCCATACCCTTAAGAGAGCTGAAAGGAAGATTGTGATCGAATAATCCAAAGATTGCGAGTTTGAAATTACACCGGTGCATAAATTTGTTCAAAAGGGAACGTGTCCTCACCTTGGTCTGATCAAGATCCCTTCCGAGTTTTGTTGGCGTAGGCATCTCTGCTGACAGTGGCATATAATAACAGATCTTTTTACCGGGTAACATCAGCATGCTCATATTCTGTTTTCACGAGAAAAGATACTTAGTTGTAGGAAGTCAAATGCCACTTAGTCCTTTGTCTCGAAGTTACACTGAAGTATAAATCGTTAGGCAGAATGAACATTTCCATTCTGGTGGTGGGGACTGATCATTTTTAGTTTCAGTTACTCTTGTTAACACAAGGAATAATTAAATGATGACGACTTAATCATACGCATACGATAACAATAACTTATTGACTGATTAAAAGTGGCGTAAAAAAATAATCGGCACGAGGTCATGACCTAGGGGCCGAGTACATTGCTACTCTTTCTCTTTCGTCCTTTCTTCTTTCTGGCCCGCCGCTCCGTTCGACCCTCATACGGGGATCTTTAAAATCTTTAACCCTTTAACTCCCGTGAGTGACCAAGACAGAATTTCTCCTTACTATATCTATACAATATCATGCAGACAAGTGATAAGGATAAAGAAAAATATCAATTATGGGATAACTAATCGATCCGATACCAAATTCTCCAAACTAACATGGTAAGAATCATTTGGCAGACAGTTAGGAGAATTACTTATGCGATCTTGGGAGTTAAAGGGTTTAACAAGTCACTGTATTGCTATAAGTTTGTTTTAGCTTAGCTTACAATGTGTTTGCCAAGACTTTCTAACTCGAGCTTTCAACGGGTTGTCCAAATTTGACTGGGGATTTAATGAAACCTCGCGTATTTACTCAGATTCAATACACCCTTAAAAATTCACAATAACCTTTGACAGACTTACCGCCTTGAAGTCGTACAAAATATTGCTTTGGTCCACGTTATTATGGGCAGGAACTTTAAAAAGTTCAGTTTGCTTCTCCGTGTCTACTTCGATTGTCTCGTCGTACTGTGCCCCAGATTCGTTGATATGAACTTTGTAATCCACAACCTGTGATACCGTAAATATACAAAGTGTCTTGTTTACAGTTCACTTTTTTTTAAATGTGCATAATATTGGCCGTACAGTTTGCGACGTTAGCACGCATCGCCTGTGCACTGCACTCGCTTCAGTTTAAAATTTTAAGCTAACCCCCCTATCCTCAAAAAAATGTATTGATTACAGTTGATTGCCGAGTTACAGAGATCGGTATAGTGTAGTACATACATTTTTAACGAAGTGTGCAGCCTTAAAAGATATTTTGAGGCGCACTAGTTATCATTTTTCAAAAAAATATCTTTGTGAGTGAATAGGAACTTTTGGTCAGTGAGGTCATCGGCGTAGCTTAGGTTGCAAATTAACTTAAGAATTACCGGAACTTTATGAAAACAGGAAGTATGATTACAACGTACCTTACGGACAGAGAATTACTCTTTCTAATGAAAAAATACATTCAAGTTTTGCACTGAGTTCAATTTTGCAGTTGGTGTTGGAATAAGACCAGTTCAAAAGTGAACCAAAAACTTTCAAAGAAGAAACAAAAGCCCTCTTCGAAATAGAAGCCGCCTCTTGACTCAGATCGTTTAACGAGGACCCTGGGGGCTAATTGGAGTATTGACTGGGCTTTTTATTATACAAATTCACGACTTGGTTTTTGCATAAGTGTCTGAGCTGCTTGCATTGCAAGTAGGCAAGGATTATTCGCTACAACTCCGTTTGAGTGCGGAAGAAATTGTGTTAAAATTTACTGGAAATTAAATAATTTAGTAATCGTCGAAACCTCTGCCTGCTGAAAAGAAGGTTATAGGTAATGGAAAGAGAGAAAAAGGCACGGGCATGCTCTTCGTCGCATATGTGAAGCAATCTTGCCAGACCATGCAAAGGCCACGACTTCATCAGTTTAATCACTGTCAAATGTTACCCTCGTTAAATACAAAGTGTACTACTACTACTGCTATTAATACTACTACTACTTCTAGACCTTCTGTCACCGTCTATTCGACTCAGAAGAAGATAATTTACCTTCCTAGAAGGAGATCGTATAGAACGAACAGGACTCGCAGATGTCAAGTTTGCGGTGGCAATAAGCAGAAGAAACACAACCGCCAAATGTCTGCTAACGAGGGTCGGTTGCTACAACATAAGGAAACAAAGAAAAGGATATGTAAATAATGTTTTTCTTTATCTGAGGAAAAAACGAGAAGAAGGGCGGAGATTAATTTTTGATAGCATTTCTTGTCAATATGGTGAGGCACTTTGTAAAATACGTCAATTTTTGCCCCTAGTCAGTTCAAATGTTACTCTGTTTGTACTGAAAGCCTTAAATTGAGAAACTAACGTGGGGTATACTGTTAATGCCTTTTTTCCGGACAGTTTCCAAAAGTGAAGCAGAAAAGTTTTTTTCAATATCATTCAGGAAAGCCTGAACGTATACCCTGAACAGGTCAAATTAAGAATAGGTTTCTGAAAACTCTTGATATATTCCTGTAGTACGGAGGTGGAGTGTTTGAAATATGATCTGACAATCTCCCGGCCCTTTTTGCTTACTTACATCAAGCATGATTCTTGTCCTCTATGTTCCACTTTGTTGCGTTTTTGACTTGTCTCTCCTAATGATCAGCTGTTTTTAACTGGAGCTGATGTACACTGAAGCTAAGCTAGGCTTTTCTCCCTTTTATGCTGTTCTCAGTGCTATGCGTATACATTGTTTATAGATTTTGCCGTTTCAGCGACAGTTACACTTTGTACTCTGTGGTTATTTCTAACTTTCTTGGAACCCCAGATCCTCATCAAGCATAGGAATGCCAGTAATGTGTAGTGAAATTAGCTATTTGTTGCACTTTACGTAAAAGTATCTCAGGTCTTCAAATTATATAAACAGTATAGTTTTCCCAGCTGTGGTTTGCGGTTTAAACCGATACTTGCATATGTAGTCATAAAGACTTGCTGCTTTACTGCGGAATTTGAGTTCAGTATTTTATAACTATTTTTTGAGGGTTGCTTCACAGCTTCAGCAAAATCGCACCTCTGGTTACGATTATTTTTTTACAAGGAAATTGATTATTTATTTTTAGATTGTATTTTCAACTCGTACCTCTTGAAATATATTAAGACGTCCACGACTATTTTTAGCTCATTTTCAGTTTTAACGGTTGGCCGGTCTCGAACCCAAACTTAGTCTTTTTTCTGACGTGTTTGTTTAAACCCTCTTTTTCGAACAAACTACCTATCAACAATTAACAACGAAAATTACATTCCCAGAACTGCACAATGAATGCACTGAAACTGTTTAAAACATTGACACACTGCATACCAGCAAGAGGTCTGTGCTGTATTTCCGTGTTTTGATGTTGTCACGCTAATTACTTTACGTTGTTATTAACAGGTGTCTTGTCTCAAAGTTGATACTATGCATGCACCACGTGGCGTTTCACATTTCTAACTTTACGAGCTAACTCTTACTTAGCACTGAGAATCCGATAAAATAACAGTCTTGTTTTGATATCTATACCCAGCTAAGTGCATGGAGACCCTGGATGGAATTTATCGTCGACGATAGTCTACTCTCAGTTTTGAAATGTTGCTGAAATTTCATGATGCGGTCTTCAAATTATGAAAATTTTCTTTTACTTCTTGAAAGACTATCTGGTGTGTGTATTTTTTGCACCCATGGTTTTATGCAAAGTGCACACATATCTCTCCATGCGATGTTTATTCATCTACATATTAAGTGCCTTAATCGTTGGCTTAATCATTGCCAACACATGATGTATGGAAGATTTCAGGCTTTAACTCCTGAGTCTTAGCAGCTAATAAACATTCATCGTCAAAGTCAGTTCGTCAACACCCAAGTTTCACAAATCAAGCCTATTTCAAACAACCTAGGTTGGGTGTTTGAAAAATGTCAGTACCCTCAGGAATGTTTGTGATCATGTATCAAACAAGGAAGGGCTTAGACGGAAGTCTTGTAATTGAAGGTACGTGTCAGCTAAAACATCAATAACATGAGAATAATGTAAGCATTAGACAAGAAAACAAAGCAGAAATACTGTATAACAGCAATGGATGTTTTAACAATACCTATAGCTTCCTTCAGTGAAGGTGCAAGAGATCTAATATATCTTCATTCCGTCACACAGTTGTAATAAACCAAAGATAAAAAACAATGAATATTATTGTGAAGTAATGTGCCGCCAAAAAGCTATGAGGTCCAGCTTCCATTATCGCTGAAGGCAAGGTAAGTCCCATGTCTAAGACATCCGGCAGGAAGCTGATGGTCAACATGTTAACTGTTCGCTGAAACATATGGATGTTTGATGACATTTGATTTCAAATTGATCGTGCATGACATGTAGGCACGCAAGGTGTGCAAATGTTTTTACGGAGGAAAAAAGGTACATCACTCCGTCATCCAGAGACAAGAGGAGCACGTACTGGTTTGAAATAAAGTAGAATGATATAATTTCCACTTTTTCTTATAAAACGCGACACATTAAAAATGTTTTTTCTTCATTTGAGGGATTACTGAGCAAAAGAAGAGAAGGAAGGATAAATCAAGACAAATCTGTGTAAAATCAAAATTCCAAACTTCTTGTACCATGAACTACTTTGGAGTCTCTTGTAGGAACTCCTCTCAGGAGGTGGCAGCTGAATTTGAAGGAAAACAACGTTAGCGTTTGTGGTTTATCGTGTTTACCTCCACTGTTCGAGAGTGTTTTAATATAGCTTTTTTAAATAGCGTCTCCCAATAGTCTAATTTACAGTTAGGTATTTGAACAGAACAGAACTGACTGAGGTTGAGGTTGACGGGAAACTATTATGCATGATAGCGTGATACAATGTTTATATGTACATGATATGATGACATGATTAAGTTTTAAAAGCTCAATACTGGGAGTTTTACATCGTGCAAATGAGTCTATCAAATTCAGATATTGTAGCATTCTCAGTTCTACTCTTGATTACGGGTATACAAATTTCCATAAATTTAAGCAGCTAGAGCAACTCAATACTTTTTGCGTTGTTTAGTTGTTATATCAGACATAACTTGAGTTTCGCTCACGAAGCGAATTCATCAGAAAAACCATCTTATGGAGAAAAATGTCCACGCACCAAACCTTTTTTCATGTTCAACAAATAGTGCAAGGATACAGTAAAAACGTCTTGGTGATAACGATCAGTTGCAAAACAAAACATACGATGCCAGTCAAATGCTTCCTTGTTACCATATGTCCTGAGTAAATAAGCCCACATCTCATGTTTGTTGATTAATTTTTTTTTCCATTTTGGTTTTAGAAATATGTGTTGCGTGGGAATGAAACGTTTTCATTTGTCAAACCGGTCTTTCTTGGAGCTTTGCCTACATCAAATGTGAATTACTTTTTATATAGAATTGCCATTCGATCGGTTATTGTTACGTCAGTATCTCACACACTTTTAGGATTCACTTTCATTGGTTTGTTTCGTTAGCTTCTCGGGCTCTTTTAGAATTTTCTCGTTCATTCTTTTGTTGGGGGAGTACCTTGAACACTTTTAGGATGTTCATATATTCGATTGGAACGTTAGTTTTTCGCTTTCTTTAAACATTTTAAGCATAGGTCAAAGCTGAAAAGTCATCGATTTGGAGGGAATCATAAATATGCATATTTTTAATATACGAAACCAAAATATCTTTGAACAAAGTCAACATACGAAATTTACCAATTTACCTATTTATTGTTATAGTGGAGCTCGCAGAGTGTAGCCCCATAATTATACAAAATGGTAGTAACCCATCAAGCCGAAAAAATTTGGATGTACGACCGTACGACCGAATGACCAAGCGTACAAGGTGCTACTTTTAGCATGCGCGGCCAACTGTACCACGGGCACTATCTTATAATCAGTCCTCCACACGAACACGGAGAAGTTGCGAATGAAAATCCATAAATATTACCACGCACTTTATCCATGGTAGGGGCTTTAGTTTAGTTGAAGAGACGTGCGGGAAAAAAAATGCGAGTTCCGCTTTTAGGCTTGCCTAAATCTATATATTAGAACCTTGTCTATCGTTAGATCTGTAAAACTGGCTTCCTAATTTTTCATTGTTTATTAACAGCATCTACAAATACGCTGAGAATTGAAACAGCATTACTTATAAAGCATAGCTACATAGAAAGTTTCCGAACAAGTTTAAAAATCAGCATGCCACAGGGGCTGTGAGTAGTGAAATAAAAACAAGGATGAGTAAGCTTTTTTCATTTACCACAGAGAAAACGGAATTCATACTAGATTTGGTCATGTATTGCAGATACTTGGGACAATAGGGATGCGACTAGATGCTTCTTGTAGTGATTCCTATTGAGGGCAGTCGGAGTCGGAGCAGTCCGAACTTACCTGCGTCATTCACTGAATAACATCTTCTTTCATTTATTTTTCTTTTGTTATTATTTGTAGTTGAGAATGGAATAAATAATAAATGTAATAACATAGAACCAAACCACTATATTATATATAATCTTTTGAAATTAAATGGCAACAGAAGCATTTAACCTTTCACTAATTACGCATTCGATAATTATTTCAGATAAACAACTCCATTAAAGGAAGTAAATCTCATTGGCTAGTCTCGCACATTAATAGACCCCAGCTTTCAGAGACACAATTACCACGTTAAATTTAACAGTCAAGTTTCCCAACTCGCTGAAAGTAAGGTAACTACTTTATGAGGGAGCGACAACAAACGTTTTTCGAGTTATTTCGAAATCTCCTGAGGCACAGTCGTTGTACATGCTTAGTATTCTACCCCAGCAATAATTTATGATGGTGGATAACCTTCCATCAAATCCATCAAATACTTTTCCTCAAAGCTTACAGTTTTCGCATCTCGGAACAAATAATGTCCCCGGACAAATACATTTGCACCAAAAAAAGGTTTATTGTCTTTGAATTGCTTTGAATGAGTCGCTGATTTTTTTGCGATCGTAAATTCAGAATATGGGGTCTTGATTTATTGCCTTCAAAATAAATATTCAGAGAGAAAATGTTTATTTCTTAAAAATGGGGCGATCCAGCAGCATTTCGCGGACGTGCATATTGTTATATTTCATAGCTGTAAAGTACAAAACCAAAATATCCATGAAATATCCTGAACAAAGTCAACACACACGATATTTACTTATTTGTTTACTTTATTTAACCTCATTTCACGAAGTACATGCATTTGTTTCAATGTTTCTACCTTTTGACTCAAACATTCTGAAGCTTATTGCTCCAACCATCAATAATTACATAATGTAAAGTTACTATTTAAAGACCAAATTGCCGACAAAGCAATGCTATCTCTCACCTAAAAAATTTAACTTTTATTTCGATAAGTTCCAACTTGAGCATTGTCTGAATATAACCAATTCTTAACTTGATCCATAACAGAAGGTCAGGTCTACGACTAGATCTCTAACATTGGCGTCCTAATTTTCAATGGTTTATTAACGTAAAAAGAGCCAGATTTCCTCGTGGAGTTTTAGTAGACCATACATTTATATTCGTAACAATACACGTAGTTTACGTAGTGCCGTGTTCGGCAAGAACACCCGAACCACCACCACCTATAACAATAGCGGACAGAATAGCATGTACGAGAGTAAACCCTATAACGCAACTGCCAGTATCCTCCAACTCTTCTGCAACAAGACCTGTCGGAGTAGCTCAAATAGCCTTTTCCGCCTGGACACACTCTGGAGTAGTAAATTGGTGAGTACGCCCATCGGCGACTCCGAGGTTTTGCTCCTGTTGAAAAGGGAAATGGCGTTTAGGATTATTTTATCATCGTTTTAAATCATGGAGGGACTTCGATAGTTTTTGTATAGGAAAGTGTTTGTGAGCATTTCGTATCACATCTCGTAAATTTTGATTTTTGAGGAGAAAAGCGATACTTCGGCTCGCTATGCATTGTATTTGGGGCTTAATCTAGAGAGTATGAAAAAGGGTTCTTCATTGCGGGAAACAAGTTAAGTAGTCGAGTTTTTGGGAAGGGAGGATGGGTGGCAGTATGTGACTTACGCAGAATAAGGCAGCTGAGAGAGGATCTCGCTAAAAATGGTTAGTACAATTGCGTCGTTTTTAACTACACCTCTTACCATCTTCTTCAGTCTCTTCGGATGCAGATGCGTTCTCCATGGTGTGGACTCGATATATCGG